TACGCAAAATAATCTGGTCGTTATTTAGATCAACAGAGGCGGTATACTCTTGTATAGTTATTTTTATCTTAGCTTGGACTAATACGTTACTCCAACAACCGTATGCATCAGAATAACTACCAAGGTTACATTTCCCATTTTGATCTACACTACCACCTATTGTTGCTGGTCTACTCGTGGTCTGATTAACTTTTATATCGCGGAATATATTTAAATTATCGAAATACAAACTACCGCTTTTATACAAATCGTAGCAACTTTGTCGATTTATATCCATTAAATATTCAATCGCGCCATTTTCTACTATTGAATTGTGTGAGTGCATTCCACAATGATAAACCGTTCTATCTATTTGAATTTTACATTGGACTACGTGAGTATCCTCAAAATTATTCAACTGTAATAATTGAATATGTTGCCTTGTTATGTTTACATTGATGGAAGGCACTTCACACTCTTCTACATCTAATAACGATACAGTGGTTATGTTGAGTGATTTTGCTCCGCAGTCATATCCTATAATGGCTATTACTGGATTAGTTATTATTAAAAATAACAATGATATGAAAGGTGAATACATCATGATAGTGTCTGTAATCAGAAAAATATTTTATTATATGTTCTTTCTTTTTGTAATTCATGTTTTATCAATATGCGAAACCCGAAGTCTATTCGCGTGTACAACTTTGCTACCCTTTTTTATTTCTATTTTAACGTTATTTCTCGGTAATACGGCTATAATTTTAAAAGGACCCGAATAATGATCACCAAATTTCCCGGGCTTGGGTCCAGATTTCAAAAATACATAATCACCTAACTTAAAATTAACTGGATTTATATGTTTATCGTAATACTTTTTTGATTTGAATTTGGTAGCTACTAAGTTCTCGTATGCCAATTTTTGAATTCCTGAGAGTCGCGTTACTAAGTCAGTTATATATCCCTTATAAGTCGGCACCATGTCTGCTTCACGTAAGGGGTTGCTAGATGGCAATCGGGCTAAGCGACCGAAAACAACTTCGAATGGGGTATGTTTAGTGCTTTCTTGAACGCAGGTGTTATAGTTTAACATGGCTAAGTCGAGCCATTCGTCCCAATTATTGTCTATTTCTGTGTATTGTTTTAAATATTCAGCAAGAGCATGATGTGATCTCTCTAAAGAACCATTAGACTGCGGTCGAAAGGCAGTGGTTCTCAATTTCTTTATCTTGAAACGTTTAGCAATTCTGGTCATCAGTGAACTCAAGAAGTTCTTTCCTTGATCTGTAAGCACGGCTTTGGGACAACCGAAGACGCAAATGAATTTTTTAATAAAGGCGTCAGCTATAGTGGATGATAGTGTATCTGCTAGCGGGGCAGCTATACAAAACTTGCTTAACTGATCTTGTAGAGTTAAGATGTACTCATATCCTGTAGGGGTTTTCTTAAGTGGACCTACAATGTCCATAGCTATTTTATCAAATGCAGTTGCGGAGGTATCAGTGATTATCATTGGTTGTTTCGTTTGTAAGCGAGTGAGTTTCGTTAGTTGACATTCTAGACACTGTTGTATGCGTCGTTGAATATCATCTTTCAGATTTTCCCAGTAGTAATTTTGTCTAATCCGGTGAAAAGTTTTGGAAACGCCGCGATGTCCTCCAATAGGGGATTTATGAAGCTCATAAAATATTGTATCACGTTGCTCCAAAGGTACATATCTTAAAGTATCTTTACAAATTATTACTTTAATACTACAATTCTTAAATACTTTATTAATTATATATTTTATTTCTATCCACTCTAAATTCTCTATACATTTACTTCTAGCTATACAAACTTCGGCCTGATTTAAATTAAGTAATAAGTCTCTTAAAATTAACAAAGTCGAATAAATTTGATCTTTAATATAGCTCATCGATTCGGAGGTTTCATCTCGAATGCAAAGTCCAAATTGAGAGTATTTCTTATTTTTCTTTTCTCTCGTGACTTCTCCTAAACTAACTAATTGTTTAATAATTATCTTATTATTGTCTATAAGCTTGCGGGTACCTTCATCGCAAGGTTCACCTGTAGTACTTATAAAATAAGCTACATTGTTTTTTTGTGTATGGAGAGATTATTTAATCTCTACAATATTTTCGCTAATCTTATCTAAATCACTTGATTCATCTGAGTCGCTAATTTCAGAATCATCCTCGAGCTTATTATCTTCAAAAATAGGGGACTTTTGATGTATAGGTTTTTCGGGTACTGCTTTTGTTTTTCCTTGTATTTTGTCTTCATCTTCACCAATATCACTTTTTTCATAATCAGGTAATTTCTTTCGAGTTCTTTGTGGATATCTTCTGGGGGTAACGGTTTTCATCGTTGTGAAACGATTCCTTTGTCACAGGATCTAGGTTAGATAACTTTAAGGCTTGATCCGAAGGGACCTTTTTAGGTCTACCTCGTGGTCTCTTGATTTCGCTATTTTGAGGCGGTGGTTCAGGTTGGAGATCTGGTTTATCGGGTGATTCTAATTGTTTATTCAATTTACTTTGTCTTCTAGTAGTAACGTTTACATTTAAAATCATATTATCTTGGCTTGCTAATTCATGCGGATTTCTCGATAAGGCATCTGCTGTTGCATTGGCGGTTCCTGGACGATAAATGATTTGGTAATCGTATTCAGATAATTTAAATCTCCATTTAAGTATTCTAGTGTTAAGATCGGCGGTTTTAAACCAAACTAAGGGCTGATGGTCGGTAATAATAATTATTGGTCTACCGTAGACATAAGACTTGAAAGCGTTAACACTTTGTACCACTGCTAAGGCTTCTTTTTCATATACTTCATAATTCAATTCGGGCCCGCGCAAGACCCGTGAAAAGTATGCGATAGGTCGATCAGTGCCAATTGATCCTTGCGAGAGGATCCCTGCAATGGCATAACCGGAAGCATCAGTTCTGATATTATATCCTCTAGACAAATCTGGGAATTGTAGAAGAGGAGCATTACAAAGTAACTCTTTTAATTCACAAAATGCTTTCTCAGTCTTCTCGTTCCATTAGAATGGGATATCTTTACTTAAAAGTTTCGTGAGGGGTTTAGATATTTTGGTGAAATCTTTAATGAATCGTCTGTAATACCCAGCTAAACCTTTGACGAATATTTTTAATGTTTCTTGGCCTGGGAAACTCTTTAACAGCTATGACTTTCTTTGGGTCAACTTCCAGACCCTCTGCGCTAATAACATGTCCTAAATATGTAACCTTATGTCTAAGAAACTTACATTTAGTAATTTGTAACTTTAATCCCGCTTTTCTTAATCTATCTGCTAATAATCCAAATTTGCGATCATGTTCATCAATAGTATTAGCGTAGATCACGATATCATCTAGGTATACAAATAGATCCAGTCCTTGTAGGCCGCGAAGCAGCGTATCCATTAGACGTTGAAAAGTTGCGGGTGCATTTTTCAACCCGAACGGCATACGAACAAACTCATAATGGCCGAACGGAGTACTAAAAGCAGTTTTATGCGCATGCTTAGGATGCATTCGAATCTGGAAAAAACTCATGGCTAAATCTAAAACTGTATACCATTTGGCGCCACCAACTTGATCAAAAATATTACAGATATTTGGTATTGGATATGAATCAGCGATTGTTTTCTCGTTAAGTTTTCTCATGTCAAGTACCATCCTGCCATTTTCATCAGTGGCTTTCGGCACTATCCAAATAGGTGTGTTATAAGATGAATTTGACTCACGAATTATTCCGGCTTTCAACAACTTATTAACGTGATAATTTAGTTTATCTTTCATGGCATGTGGAAACTGATATTGTTTACAATTGATTGGTATTTCATCCACAGTATTAATTTCATGCATAACTAAATCAGTGCCAGGTAAATCGTCACCAGGTAGGTAGAATACATCTCTGAACTTATTTACTAATTCAACAACGTATTCTTTCTCCTCTTTATTTATATGGTCTAAATCCAAATGTTCTTCTATTTTGATGTTGGACCCTTTATTTTCGTCTTCAAAAAATAAATCCGCTATATGGAAATCATCCAAATCATCTGTTTGTTGAATGTCCAGATCTTCATATGCTTCGTTCGTTGCTATAGTTAAAACGTGTTTAATGGCCATACTATTGGGCAGATCAAGCGACACTAGTTCTTCAAGAAGTCTATCAAATTCATCACTAGTCATTTTATCATTCTTTATGGCTTTTACTTCACGTTCGTCGAGTATCATAGGTACTACAAAGTTTCTTGCTTTGAATGTTTTATGATTAAAATCAAGTACAGCATTTGAGTCTTCAAAAAATAGTGCGCCTAATATACCTTCACTTATCATACTAAAATTATCGTCAACTACATGAAAAACTGTATTAGTCCCGAATAACTTTATTTCTGTAATTCCTAATGTCATTTGCAAGTTGTTTCCAATACCTCTTATACAAATTACTTTCGTGGTATCTATCTCGTTTCCTGGAGGCAGTAGGTGTTGTTTTACAAGATTAACTTCTGAACCTGTATCTAATAGGAAGTATTCTTTTGAGTCAGTAGGGGGGTTAATTATTCTGATTTTAGGTGATACTTTATCTTTTATATTGGCATTGTGAACAAAACAGAAACTAGTATGAGCGGGATAGTTGATTTCTTCAAAATAGAGTTTATGATTGCCAACAATGAATTGACGAGTAGAAAAATCGATAATTGCCTCATTTTCTAGCGAATATCCGGCTCCAAGTACTGCTTCATAGGGTATTGGGAAATTGCTTGGAACAATTTGAAATTCAGTGGCTTTTCCGAAAATTGACAAGGTAATTACGCCAAGTGTGGGTACGGTTTCTAAGCCAATTCCTTTCAAAAAGGTACGTTTCGAATTATCTATGTGTTTTATATGGTTTTGTAAAAGGGTCATTTTGAGTATATTAGCTTCCGATCCGGTATCAATCATTATTTTCATTCGTTTATTTCCTAAAAAGTTAGCACTTATTATAGGAACTTTTGCAAAAAGCCTTGAACTTAAGGGACTAGGCTGAGCAACATTTCGCTGTCTTCGTTCGATTGGCGCATTCGTGGTGTATTGGTCCTCTGCATTGCGCTCGACTGCGGGGACCATGATCCGTTTCCCTGATTCTGATTTCGGGCTTCATTGACCTTTCTTTTTATGCATTCGGCTATCATATGTCCAGGTCTCTTACAATAAAAGCATATAATATTTGACTTGTCAAATGTGGGGTTCTTATTACTGGCAGATTCTATCTCTGAATTATTTTGGCATTGTTTACCAGTATGTCCGACTCTATTACACAGTTGACAAACTATTTCGTTGATCGTATTAACTTGCGCGCGATGTGTACAGGTTTTCGCTATATGGCCTATTTTATTGCAAATTTGGCACTTCAATTGTGATTTACATTCACGAGCGTTATGACCTTTCTTATCGCAAATTTGGCAGATAATATTGTCATTGCCCTTTTTCAAGAAGCAATCTTTTATTTCATGCCCAGACTTCTTACAATATGTACATTGTTTTCCAAGAGGCTTTGTAATGTTAAGGCAATTCAGTGCCTCATGCCCTTCCTTATTACAGAGTTGACATAAATTGATGATTTTTGAACTTGATACTTTATTTTTAAATCCTGATCTAAGTACTGACTGTATTTCTAAGTCTTTTTCTGCTTTTATGGCGAGCTTTAGTATATTAGTTGGGGTGACTCCGGGAGATAGATTTAACTTGATTTCTGATTTTAATCCTCTCTTGAAACATTCAAAGATATTCTCTTCCAGGGCATGCTTATATTCATTCGTGACTGATTCGATTCCGTCAATTTTTCTTTTAGCATCAATGATTTTTGTCGATAGTAGTCGCAGCCTATTAGCGAAAGTTAATACTTTTTCATCATCATGTTGAAATTCATTTCCCAATTCACCTAAAAGCTGGTTAAGCGTTTGGGCAGATCCGAAAATATCTGCTAGATGTTCTAGCAATTCATCAAGAGTTCCGAAATTAATTCCAATTACTGTATCTCTAGCTTCTCCTTCTAATTTTGACCTTATCAATTTTACCAAATTGCCTTCTATTGGTTTCGGGATCATTGCCAAGGCTTCCTTGCATCCTTCTGCAAATCGAGTCCATTGATCAGGTTTCCCATCAAATCGCGGAATAACGTTCAATAATAACGTTCGTGCGTCTTTCAATGACACAACCTACCCGTGGACAGTGGGTATTTCTTCCTTTTTTTCGTTTTCACTCATTTTAATAGTTCGTGAGTTATTACAGGGTGGGATATCTATAATAGATTGTAGCTTTTGTTTCGGACTCTTAATTTTCTGATTTATATCTATTGGTTGGTTTTCAATTACAATTTTATCTGAATTAATCTCACTCGGGCCTGGACTAATTAACTTTTGGTTTAGATCCTGATCGGTTCCTTCAGGTGTCGTCGAAGTACTTCTTATACTGTCACGATCTTCTAATTGAGTCAAATTCTCGGTTGATCTTTTCAAACTACTAGGTTTTACTGAAACGGACCAAGTAAGTCCTCTAACTTTACTGCGCGTAAGGCGTTGGTTATGACTCATTAAGGTAAATAGGGCAGATTATACTCCGAGCGAAAGCTTATTAAATAAATAGCACAATTCTTGGATTTTAAAATCAAAACTGTTAGTAATTACACTTAAAACTCTATTATGTTGTCTAATAAGTTTATGAGAATTCGCAAGATTTTTGCTTAAAACACTATTTTCAAGCTTTAGTTGGGCAACTTGATTATTTAGGCGATGCAAATGAGCGAAGTCGGTTTCTACGGTCTTATCTAATACGTCTACTCTATCCTTAAGAATATTTTCACGTTTAATATTTAAATTAATCCCTTTTTTATGTGATTCTATAACTTCAGCAATTTTTACAAACTCGGCTTGAATACTAGGTAATCTATCGGTTAAAATATTATTAACGTTATCAATTATCTCAATTTGTTTATTTGCCACTTCATGGACTTCTACCGTTATTTCTTCAAGTAGGGCATTATTAACCGAAATTTCTGGTGTTCTAACTAACGGAATCATTTGAAAACAAGGGCTTCTAAAATACAAGGAATAAAATATTGGTTAAAATTCAATTTATAGATTTTATTGCCAATAATTCGTTTTCTCTTTTGTAACGTGGTAAGCGATAGCTTACGACGTCACACATATTAATACCACAGACAAGCGTCAGGAGGCGTGCACACGAGCTGCTGACGAACTCACGACCTGTACAGAGAGAGAGAGAGCTAGGACCGAAGAGAAGGCAGCGCGCTCGCGACTATCAAGCACACATAGGTAACCACGAAGCGCGAATTAGAAACAGAGTGGGGAGCGGCGAAGATATCGGCCGCCGTATATCACACGAGCGAGGCCCCGTGGCTTTTTCACTCCGTTCGCGGCACGCGACGCATCTTCCGCGATAGCACCGAAGACTCGTCGCTCGCGCGTGACCTTGACGACGAACGACCCTAACGGACGGCTTCACCGTCGGCCCAGCAAGCGCACGCGGCGAAGGCCCCTCCTGGCAGCGCATATCGAGGAGGTAAAATATCGGACGAGCGAGTGCAAACCGAGGGAAGGACCGCGATGTCCATCGCATAAGCGTAAGCATTGCCGTACTTTACTCTCTCTCTCTCTCTCTCTCTCTCCCAACAAGCACATAGCTGTGCGAGAGTCGGCTCGGCGGAGCCGACTGGTTTTGTACATTAGCGAGGCGAGGCGAGCCGATGTGGAATTAGCGACAACCGCTGCGAAAGGTTGACGCGTGCCTCTAGCACTGTAAGAGTAACAATTCAATAAAGGGATATGGAAGTCAATTCCGGACCGTCTTTTACTGGATGCTCGCACTCCTCTCCAATTGCATGTACATTACAGGTTTAAGCAGGAGTACGAACGCACGCCTCTCCGCGGGCAATCGCTAGCGCTGCGATTGTGTACACCTGAGCTAACCGGAACTCCTCCTGCGACGTGTGGTGCGATGCTAATTGTCGTCGACATTAGCTAGTCCGGGAGTACTAATACTATCGCACCGAGCACGTTACAGTGGCGCCCAATCGTAGGTTATAAGATTTAAGCACGTGTACGACTGTAAAAATTTTACAAACCACATTAGTTTCTAGTATAATTTCATTTTCACATAAAGAAAATCGTATACATCAAAAACAAAATCACAAGGTCAATATTTCACGCTGCTTATATTTTGTAAAGCCAGGTTGAGGTTCGAAAGTATTTTCGCGAAGCTTCGATTCAAAACATTGGAGGTTACGTGTAGCAAAATAATAGCGAGCGAAACCGTAAGCACTACGGAATATTCGCGCCGCATTTCGGAAACGAAGTTTTGAACCGCGCGTCTTGTTTTGTACATCGACCGCTTATCCATTCGACTCCGAAATTAAACGCGAGTATTGCGTACATATTATAAATATCATACAAACTTCTCCGTCCTCTATAGTTTCGTGTACAATTTCTCGACACCGACAATATAATAACGAAGCATAAATTTCGGATTTTCTCAAGATCAATTGTCCTCTTCGAACAAGCGAGCACATACGTAATTAGCAAAGTAACATTGTAAATACGTATACGTAAATACGTATAAAAAAAAAAAAAAAGCCGAACGTGAATCGAAGCAGAGCGACACAGGGCATACGATACACGGTGAACATACACGTAATCAAGGTCGCCAAGACAGTTGCTTGTACAAATTATACATTTTATTTTTTTTTCTTTTCCCTTCTCGCCTTCCTTCAACAATCTAAACTGTTCGAGCATTTTTGATAATAACTAACGCAACTCCCTAACAACACAGCGGCGCAAATCACTAGCGCAAATATTCAATTTAAACAAATTAAACAAAAAAGATAAAATACCTTATCAACCGTCGTCGATTAATTTCTAGCAAATACAGATATATATATATATATATATATATATATATATATATATACATATATATATATATATATATATATATATATATATATATATATATATATATATATATATATATATATATATATATACATATATATATATATATATATATATATATATATACAGGGTAGCCCATTTTAAGTGATCCACTTAGATATCTAGATTGGAGTGAGTTTTATCGAAAAAAGTTTCAGACAAAAGTTACTCAACTTTGAGGGGGCCATGTTTCTATGACCTTGGATTTGACCTTGGAGGTCATGTTCAAGGTCATTTCAAGGTCAACTTTGTTTTTTTAAATAGGAACCCCCATTTTTGACCCCGGATTCGGAAAGAGCGGGAAATTTTACGTCCAAAACGGTATTTTAAAATTTTTTTTCATGGCCTTGAGAAGGTCGATTTAAGGTCAAATGCTTGAAAAACTGCATAAAACCGTTTTTTTAATTTTTAAGATATCGAAAAATGACCTCTACAAAATTTGTTCAGAACAGAGTGGGCCATCCAATGCACCAAAAACCTTTGACCTTTAACCTCATTTTGAAGGTCATTTCAAGGTCGAAGTGTTTTTTATAATGGAAATCCCTCTTTTTAACCCCGGATACGCACATAGCGCGAAATCCTACGTTTGGATAAGGTATTGTGTTGAGTTTCGCGCTATGTGCGAATCCGGGGTCAAAAAGAGGGGTTTCCATTACAAAAAACACTTCGACCTTGAAATGACCTTCAAAATGAGGTTAAAGGTCAAAGGTTTTTGGTGCATTGGGTGGCCCACTCTATTCTGAACAAATTTTGTAGAGGTCATTTTTCGATATCTTAAAAATTAAAAAAACGCTTTTAGGCAGTTTTTCAAGCATTTGACCTTAAATCGACCTTCTCTAGGCCATGAAAAAAAATTTTAAAATACCGTTTTGGACGTAAAATTTCCCGCTCTTTCCGAATCCGGGGTCAAAAATGGGGGTTCCTATTTAAAAAAACAAAGTTGACCTTGAAATGACCTTGAACATGACCTCCAAGGTCAAATCCAAGGTCATAGAAACATGGCCCCCTCAAAGTTGAGTAACTTTTGTCTGAAACTTTTTTCGATAAAACTCACTCCAATCTAGATATCTGAGTGGATCACTTAACCCATTAAAGCCCACGCTAAGACTGGTTGAGATAGCGACAAACAAACTGTGCTATCTTTTGCATAAGTGAAAAATAAAATATACGTATTTTTTTTTATGTTATTTTCAATTGTTTATAACAAATTATTTAAACAAATTACAAAAAAATTCATAATTATCAAAATCTAAATGCGGGAATCGATTCTGGAGGTGAAATCAAGACGAAAACCTATATAACACTTTTTTGTCAGAATTCAATTTGTTAGTGTAACGTAGGAATAAACAATTGCATGTTGGGGAGAAAAAGTGACCATGTCAAGTCCCAAGCAAAATCTATCTGGAATAGCAAAAAATAAACTGTGCTATCCTTTGCATAAGTGAAAAATAAAATATATATATTTTTTCTTATGTCATTTGCAATTGTTTATAACAAACTATTTAAACAAATTATAAAAAAATTTATAATTTTCAAAATCTGAATGCGGAAATCGATTCTGGGGGTAAAGTTTAGACGAAAACCTATATAACACTTTTCTGTCAGAGGCCAATTAGTTATTGTAATGAAGGAAGAAACATTCGGCCTCCTGAGAGTGTTTCAAAAAATCGTATAAAATGAAGCTAATTATTGTATTTATCCATCAATATTGGCATGAATTATTGTAAATATAATCGGTGGGATTGAATTATTGTTCATTGCCATGTCCTTCTTTATGACTTTTGCAAACAGGCATAGAACATTTCTCACAATACCATTCCGTTCTTGTCCGACATGTTGAAATTCCACATTTCCTAAGACTCCCATGTTTCATCACGTGTTCTTGGGATGAAGTTTCACTCTGTTTCTGTCGTTTGGGGGGACGTTTGGAAGATAACTTGTCAATATAATATTCACACAAACTTCTTGAACAATATCTTTGGAACCTTTTCTTTCGTCTGGATGTAACTTATTGTAAATCACTGTAGCGTTTGCTAAGGATGCTTGGATGAGCCGTAATACAAGGCACCATGTCCATTTCTTACTTCGAATTGTAGGCA